CCCCACAATGTTATTAGCCTGCCGTCGTACCTTTTCGAAAGACAACTTATTAAAAAGCATGACATTCTCACGTGGGCCGAGCCTGATGCAGCTAATTGTAAGCAGCTGGGTTATCGTCTTTTTTCAGTCTTGATCCAGCTCTCTGTCCGAATAAAGTGCAAGAACACCATTTTGTTCTTTCGATTAAGGCCGCATATCCATAATATCCTCGTGATCCCAAACTAGAAAACTTTGCGGACAATATGTATTCCAATACATCTATGAGACGGCAATGTTGTGTCCTTCATCTCTCTAGGAAAGTGATATCACAACGGCGAATTCATGGGAAAAGTTCCATTGTCATTTCTCCAGGCATTTTACTTCTTCACTTCCAAACTTTTCTATTATGATTTAACAAACAAATGGAAAAAAAAATCAAATCTTCCTATCAAGACTGCAATGTCCCTGTTAAAATATATCGATCGTGGGCATTCGAGAGACTAAGGTAAGAGCTCACTCATTTATTCTGGGAGAATGGACTGTTTCAAGCTGGGTACGTTGCTGAAATAGCATACAGGATGTTGCTAGTTTAAGTTTGATCCACCAGTTTTGTTAAATAAATGGTTTTAACAGCAGTTCTGTTGTGTTTTAATTATTCTAATCAAAATCGAACTTCTACTTCTTCGTGAATAGCAGGGGGCAACGATCGAGTACCACGACTGATTTCTGATTTATTAAATCTATAAATTATTGGTTCTTTAAAATGCATGTGTGCTTCTTCTGCCCTCATCGACACAATTTAGGTTATGTTGGAGTTGGCAATACATTTTTATGGCACCAGAAAAAAAAGAAAGAAAATAGAATAACCGTTTTGATACATGACGCACGGAAGAGGTTGAATGCACACCAAAGATCCTCTACAAAACAGCAGTTCACTATTCTGTTTGAGCTACTATAGCACTCCCCCTCCAAAAATAAATAAATAAATAAATAAAAAAAAAAAATCCTCATAATCGCCGGTGGCGCCACCTGTGAATTTGCACGGACAGATGACAATGGAAGTATAGAAAACACACCAGGGGAACTTTAATTGTTACTACACTCTCCTCATGCAACAAACATTTTATGTATGGATTTTATCTTGAACTTAGGATGAATATAACATTAAGTGAATCAGTTATGGGCCAAGTAAAATATGATTTCCAACAATTTATCGACGTCACTGCTCAGTGATCACTGCTCTTTCACGTCGGTAGAGCTGCCAGAGCGAACATGAGTGTGTCGGAGGATTTGACTAAATAAATAATGTAA